GGGCCACACACCCCTGGCAGGAACTGCTTCCCGCTGCTCTCCTCCGGCGTCCTGGGCCTCCGGGGGCCATCACAACAGAGCACGCCTGGCCCTGGGGCGGCCCACAGGGACCGTGCAGCGGCTTGCCGGGCCACAGGACCCCCCAGGACCCCCCGGAGAGGCACCGCAGCCCCGGCCCAGAGAAGGGCAACCAAGCTGGTGAGGGGCCTGGAGCACAAGTCTTGTGAGGAGCGGCTGAAGGAGCTGGGGCTGTTTAGTCTGGAGAAGAGGAGGCTGAGGGGAGACCTTATCGCTCTCTACAACTGCCTGAAGGGGGGTTGTACTGAGGTGGGTGCTGGTCTCTTCTGTCAAGTTACTAGTGATAGGACGAGAGGAAATGGCCTCAAGTTGTGGCAGGGGAGGTTTAGGTTGGATATGAGGAAAAATTTCTTTACTGAGAGGTTTGTCAGACATTGGAGCAGGCTACCCAGGGAAGTGGTTGAGTCACCATCCCTGGAGGTGTTCAAAAAGCGCCTACACAAGGTACTCCAGAACATGGTTTAGTGGGCATGGCTGATGGTTGGACTCGATGATCCTGAAGGTCCTTTCCAACCTAAATGATTCTATGGTTCTATGATTCTATTCCTCTATGACCTGGCTTTCACAGCCTGCCCGGCCTCGGCAGCTCCTCTCCGGCAACGCTCGACCCCCAAGCGCAAGAGGCGTTGCCTGCCGCCTCCCCCCCGCAGCCCCCCTTTCCGTCAGCCCGACCGGGCGCCGCCGGCGCTCTGGGCCCGGCCGCTCCGCGCCGCCCTGCCCTTCCCCCTCCCGCCGCGGGCGGAAACGGCAATCGGCGCGCTGGAACTGTGTCACGCGCGCAAGGCCTGCCGGGATTTGGCGGGTGGCGAGTTCGCGCTTTCTGGCCGTGTGGGGAGGCGGGCCCCGACCCCCGCCGTCGCCATCGCCGTCGCCATGCCCGCCGCCATGAGCCCCGCGGCGCCCACCGCGCAGGAGGCGCTGGAGATCGCGGGCCGCATCATCGACCGGCAGATCCAGGATGACCGATGCTACCCGGACCTGTCCGAGCTGCTGGCAGTGCCGGCGCCTGGTGAGGAGCACTCGGTGGCACTCTGCCTCCGGCTGTCGTCTCCTCGCCCGCCCCGGTGCCCCGGTCGCACCGCGACCCCCTGCAGGTCGGCCTTGGCCGGCGCTGCCTGGCCGGCCACGCGTGGGGGCCCTCGGCGGGCAGCCAGCCGGGCACGATCCCCGGCCCTTGGCGGCTCCCGCCCTGGCAAGGCCCCGGGGACAGCGGCTGCTGGCCCTGCCTTCCCAGGGACGGCGGCAGGGCTGAGTCTGAGGGCTTCTGAGGCTTCTGGGGGGACGTGGGGGGTGGGCGTGTAGTGCGCGCTTTGGTGAGTGGGTGAAAGTTGTGGATGTGGGATCTCTCCGTGATAGGGGGAGCGCTGCAGGAGGAATGAGCTTGGGCTGGCTCTTTGGCCCTCTATACCTGCAGAAGGTGAAGAAAATGGCACATGTTTTCCATCCTGTCTGCTGGGAAGTCTCTTGCAGAATGCTTATAGGGTCACCGAGTGCCCAGCGCCATCCCTAAGTTACAACCAGCCTGAAAATCACTCTTAAGCCTCTTTGAGCGACTTTGATTTGTCTATAGCTGTACGTCACATGTAGTTAAGATGTAAGGTATATCTCTTCTCAGACATTTGTTTTGTTCTCCTTAAAATACCAGGACAGCATTTCCTACTTCATTGGTGCCCACTGTCTGGCCAAGTGGGCTGTGAAAAGGCACTCTAGAGCTGTAGGTGACCTAATTAACGCATATCCAGGGGTGTCAGGATACAAAGAAAGTATGTTTTCTGCTATGATACAATGTGATGTGCATGGCCAAAGTGTAACTGCCCTAGCAGCATCATGGATACACATCACATCAAATAATGGGTGTGCATGGGTGCTTTCACTTGTTACTGGGAGTACAGATCAGCTTTTCTAGGTGAAGGAATATGCTCCTGGCTTATTCATGTGGCATATTTAAAGTCTGGCGGTACGATGAAGAAAGGGCTGGAGAGTATCACACAAAAAAATGGGGTGGAGAGTCAGCAGGGGTCCAGATGAGTTATTGTAAGAGTTTGTTTGCAGATCTGTTTACTTATGTCTGATTTGAGATTTAGATTTATTGTTTGTGGTCCTGCTCCTACAGAAACGTGTGTTTACACATATGTTGTGGGTATTGGTATTTATATGCTTAAAGTCTCCAGTATCAAGACATTTTTTTCTGTGTAGTCTGAAGGCCTGTGTTATTCATCTAAAGTAAAATGGGAAATGTGATTAGTCTAATTTAGATTTCACAGATTAGGAAACAATCAGGTAAAGATAGAGAGAATGTAAACCTTTTTTTGTAGATTTCTCATTCTTTAGAAGAAGTTTAATCTTTTTTGTTGTTCTTGCTTGCAGGTAGCCCTACTGTTTCTGGTATGTCAGATATGGATTATCCTTTGCAAGGACCAGGTTTGCTGACAATACCTAATCTTCCGGAGATCAGCTCAGTCCGCAGAGTCCCACTTCCCCCGGAGCTAGTGGAGCAGTTTGGACGTATCCTTACAAAAAATAATGTGCTAGGTTGTGTAGGTAATAATATCAGAAACAAACTTTTTTCTCCCATAATCTTTTTCACGATCTTTCTGTCAGACTCCCAGTAATGAACTTTGATATTGTTCATGTTCCCTTCATAACACTCCAAGTGGTAGCAAGGTCCATTTGTGCACACTTGCTGGTGGAATTAGTTTCTGTATGAAGAACTTTGAAGGTTTATGATACACAGTTTGTGTACTGCTGCATATAAAGTAACATTATTTTTTTTAGATGCTTCAAAAGGGATTTTGCCTTTGCTAGCTGAAGTGCTTTTAGTCCTTACATCAGCAGTGCTTCAGATATGCAGTGCAATTGTATGATGGGAGTATTTCCAGAAATTAGCAGAGCTTGGCTGACCATTGACAGTGACATCTTTATGTGGAACTATGAAGATGGGTATGTAGAAAACACATTCCTGATGATTGGTATTATACTGGAACTATTATTGGTAGCACAGAGGTGTGCTATTCAGTTTAACTTACTTTGATTCCTTTTAGGTTTTACTAAAATTTTTGGATAATAAGTGTTTAAGCATTTTTAAGAGTTAGTAATATTGCTGCCAAATCATCTAGAGATGAAAGAAAGGACGATGCATTTGGTTAGTGTTAGACATAGCTGATACACTAAAGTCATTGCTGCATTTATGCTAGGGCTTTGCTTATGCCAAAAAAGAAAAAAATTATACTAATTGCCTAACTTTTCTAAGTAGATTTAGTAAGTACTCTGATTCATGTACAGTGGCCAATCATTCCCACAATAATACAGCATTAGTACTTTGAAGTATTGTAATTGAAGCTCTCCTGCCTAGCTTATTTTAAGGATGCATAGAACTGAAAATGATTTTATTATATTTTCAAATGGCAGCAATATGTTTATAATTTGCAGTCTTGCTCTTTTATTTGCCTATTCATTAATTATTTTAGTAAGAATTGCTTTGTACATATTGTTGCATTTCTTAAGAAGATTAAAGTTCAGATTGTGGCTCTTATAGCTCCTATCCATACATTTACATTGTGTCACAGTACATTAAATACATTCCCCTAATAAAACAACACTTCATGGTGTTAATCATAAGGTGCTGGGGAGCAGGTTGGGAATTCTTGCTTTAGATAATTTTCATGGGGAAAAAAAAATCATGTAAGTTCCTCCCTCTTTGTGTTAATCAGCATTACATATGCTGCATCGTGTAATTCAGAATAGACTGTTTGAGTTAACAAAATCCAAAAATATAAAATACTGCAGTTAGGTTTCAGGTTTGAAACTCAGCTATAGGGGCTTCAAGCAGGTCAAATGATTGCGAATAAAGTTTTGCTGTGAAACTTCTCTGTCATTCCATTCTTCTGGACCTGCTTTCACCCAGAGCAAAAGATGTAGATGGCTTCAGAGTGTTACAATAAGTATTATAATTTTTAAATATACAGATTCTGATTTTATTTACTTTGTTGTTACGTGATCCTACGTGACAAGTTTTATGCAGGTTTTGGGTTTTTTTTCTTGTTGACAGGGGAGATCTGGCTTATTTTGATGGCCTTAGTGAAACTATTCTTGCAGTGGGTCTTGTAAAGCCAAAGGGAGGTAAGAAATATATGACAGTGACTAGAATTAAGCGGTTATTGAGCCTTCTATATGTTTTTTTATATATGTGAAAACCTGTATTTTGTGTATGTGTATATATGTATACACAAGATACATGGGTTTGTTTCGTTTTTAGAAACATGATATTAATTACAAGCCAAAAATAAGTATAGTTTAACAGCATTTACACTGATAAGCTTGCATGTTTTTGCCACATCGTATTCTAACATTTGTGCTGTTTATAAATTTACACATTCAGGTGATAACTTCCATGAGATCCTAGTTTCTAGCCCTCCCAGTTCTTCTTGTAGCTACTGCTTAGGTAACATTGAAGTCAAAGTTGAATTGGCAATAGGTTGAATTTAAAAGAAGCACATTATAAGAAAATGTCATTTTAAAGATCCTGTATTTCATGAACTAGAAGCTGAACTGCTTACTGATCCCCCTTCCTAATTCTAGAGTTTCACAGATCATTAGGTCTTAAATATGACTATTCCCTTTAATCAGTTATGTGTCTTTCCAGTTGATATATTGGATACATCATTGTGATCTGAGAGGCTAGCTGCAAACTAAAATTTTATTTTCTCCCCTTCTTTAGGTATCTTCCAGCCTCATGTACGACACTTACTTGTTCTGGCTACCCCTGTGGATATTGTGATTTTAGGGTTGAGTTGTGCTAATATACAAGCAGGTAATTCTCTCTTCTCCCTTCATTCTCACTTGTGCATTAACAAATACATCTAGCTGCTTTATTAGTAGTCATTTAAAAAATAAGTTAAAAAAAAAGTAAAACAAGACCATGTGCTAAGTGCCTTGCTAATTTTTAAATCATGTTACAGTCAGGGGGAAATAATTTTCATGGGGTTTGCAGTTGCTGGCTTCTGGAGTCCCATAGGAGCATTGAGTTGTATTACTCACCTGTTTAACATAAAAAGAGCTTCTGAAACAGGTACTCCTGTTAATTAAACAGCATGTTGGAGAGGGAGAGAAGAGATGGGCATCAATCTTGGAACTGGTGAATACAGTTCATTAACCTGGTTGACATTTGTATTCCAACCACAGAAACTGAGAACCTGATACCTTTTTTTTATGCTATATGTATTAAAAGAGAAAATGCAGAATTTTTTGCAGAAAGTGAGAGGATTTCAATCTTCTGCTCTCTGTTTAGACTATCTTGATGTGAAAGAGAAAAAAATTGGAGATCTGTGTTTTAGATTTGTGATTTAGAGGAGATGACAATGTATGGAAATGAAAAACACTGCATTTTCTTACTTGGAAACTTATACAGAGAAATTACTTTCAATTTTTTTTAAAACAGCAGATTTCTTACTCTGCAGTTCACTTGGGAGAATAGCTATTCCAGAATGTGTTTAGTAATTAATGAAATTTGCTGTAAATTTTCCTGTTTTCCAGAATGCTTCTTTTCACAGACCTGTAATATTTATTAGAACAACTTTAAAACTGAAGATTTATTTATTTATTTATTTAAGGTACTGGATCGCTCAATGACAGTATGTCTGGTGGAATGCAGCTGCTACCAGATCCTCTCTATTCGCTCCCTACTGACAATACTTACATTCTGGCAATAACATCTACTGATAACGGACGTATCTTTTTGGCTGGAAAAGATGGCTGCTTATATGAAGTAGCATACCAGGTGACTATAGGTTTTACACACAGGCATTTTTCATTGTTTCATTGTTGTGGGATCTAGGCACTAAGAGTTCTAAAACGTGTCAGGTTTGCTGTTGTTTTTCTTGCATAGTTATGTTGCATGTTGAGAAGGGCAACCAAGCTGGTGAGGGGCCTGGAGCACAAGTCTTATGAGGAGCGGCTGAAGGAGCTGGGGTTGTTTAGCCTGGACAAAAGGAGGCTGAGGGGAGACCTTATCGCTCTCTACAACTGCCTGAAAGGAGGTTGTAGTGAGGTGGGTGCTGGTCTGTTCTGTCAGGTGGCTGAAGACAGGACGAGAGGAAATGGCCTCAAGTTGCGGCAAGGGAGGTTTAGATTGGAAATTAGGAAAAATTTCTTTACTGAGAGGGTTGTCAGACATTGGAACAGGCTGCCCAGGGAAGTGGTTGAGTCACCATCCCCGGAGGTGTTCAAAAAGCGCCTACACAAGGTACTCCAGAACATGGTTTAGTGGGCATGGTTGATGGTTGGACTCGATGATCCTGAAGGTCTTTTCCGACCTAAATTGTTCTATGATTCTATGGCTTCTGTCATGGTTTAACGCCAGCCAGCAGCTAAGCACCACGCAGCTGCTCACTCACCTCCCTCACAGTGGGATGGGGGAGAGAATCAGAAGGGTAAAAGTGAGAAAACTTGTGGGCTGAGATAAAGACAGTTTAATAGGTAAAGCAAAAGCCGCGCACACAAGCAAAGCAAAACAAGGAATTAATTCACTGCTTCCCATCGCAGGCAGCTGTTCAGCCATCTCCAGGAAAGCAGGGCTCCATCACACATAACTGTTACTTGGGAAGAAAAAAAGCCATTACTCTGAACGTCCCCCGCTTCCTTCTTCCCCCAGCTTTATATGCTGAGCATGACATTATATGGTATGGGATATCCCTTTGGTCAGTTGGGGTCAGCTGTCCCGGCTGTATCCCCTCCCAACTTCTTGTGTACCCTCAGCCTACTCACTGGTGGGGTGGTGTGAGAAGCAGAAAAGGCCTTGACTCTGTGTAAGCACTGCTCGGCAGTAACGGAAACATCTTGGCATTACTAGCACTGTTTTCATCACAAATCCAAAACATAGCCCCACACTAGCTACTGTGAAGAAAATTAACTGTATCCCAGCCAAAACCACAACTTTGCACAACAGCTGTGACATCTTAGTGTAGATGCATTTCCTTTAAAGAAGTAGTAATTATATGAGGAATAGCAATGCAGCTCTGGTCAACTTAAAAAATAAATTAAAATTGTGACATCCTGCATCCTTTTTTATGTAAAATTTTCCTTCTAATGATAACCTATTTCTTTCAATTGAATAATACATACTTTTTCAATTAAATCAGTGGTGTGTAGTTAGATTTTTACTTGTTTTCATACTTGTCCTGTTAAGGACTTTTACTACTAGTTTGGTTTTTGTTTTGTTTTTTCTTTCAACGCTGTATTTGTTTTAAATTGTAGGCTGAAGCAGGCTGGTTTAGCCAGCGCTGTAGAAAAATTAATCATTCAAAGAGCGCGCTGTCTTTCCTTATTCCTTCATTGCTACAGTTCACATTCTCAGAGGATGGTACGTATTGATGTTAAAGACTTACCCAATAATGTAATGTAACCTTTTAAATAATACTACCAGGAAGTCAGACCGAAGAGTTTCCTCATTCGGAGCATTTAGTTATTGTCAATGAAACTTGCAGTGGTTGACAGTTACAAAAATCAGCTCACTTGTTTGTGTGTCTAGTTCAGATTATGGATACCAAAGCCTGGAAAGTTTGACATTTATGACTAAAGTTAGTGTTCTGTAGTACAAAATTAATATGTGCTTAGTGGGATCACTGCAAACAGAATCTTTAAGTAAAGAATTTTTCACTGTTCAGTGGAAAATAATTTGAAATTATGATACAATTTGTGGTTCTTTTTTTTTTAGTTTACTAATAATTATGAGAAATTGATTGCTGTTTTAAATCACTTCTGGTAGGAGTCCTGTGTGGCACTCTGCAGTTTTTGTTAACTTACAATTAATTATGTTACAGATATTCTGTCTTAAATTTGTTTTCACCAAATCCAGTGTTGATTTGCTGGTTCTCCCTGTTTTCCCCCCCACCCCCAGATCCTGTAGTTCAAATCGCCATTGACAACTCTCGAAATATCTTACACACCCGCTCAGAAAAAGGAGTGCTGCAAGTATGTGACTTCTTCTAATGACTCTTGGCAATGTTACTAATGTGTATATAACTTCTTAAGTTTTCCTCAGTACCTGGGAATTCTCTGTAGGTATGTCAGGATATTATTGTAGTTTATCTTTTGGTAACAAAGTGTGTGCTGAAGACCTAAAATACTTTCTTCTGAGGAAAGAGTAGCCTTTTGATCTTCCCCTCAATTATATGGAAACATGAGGATGAAATAAAAATAGACTTTGAGTTGCTGCTTGATAGGTGAGGCTGTATTAATCATTCAGCTGTAAATCACTAAGTTGTATTATTGAATTGCAGGTTTACGATTTGGGACAAGATGGTCAGGGAATGACCAGGGTTACTTCTCTTTCACAAAATGCTATAGTTTCTGCTGCTGGGAGCATTGCCAGGTATATTTATGATAATTGTAATGTAAGAGGTTTTCTTTAAGGCCTATAGTTTCATCCTGTATTTTTGAAGAACGTTGTTTGCTTATTTCTTTGGATTGAGAGTGTATGGGATTTTTTTGCTTTGTTTTTTAGAACAATAGATCGCTCTGTATTTAAGCCTATTGTTCAGATAGCAGTGATTGAAAATTCTGAATCCATAGACTGCCAACTACTAGCAATCACACATGCAGGTGAGAAAGCAATAGCAATTCCTCCCCTTTTAAACTGACAAATGGCATCTGCACAGTTTAGCAAAATTGTGACCTTTTTTTATCTTTTGTTCAGGTGTCCGACTGTATTTTAGTACTTCACAATTTAAGCATCCAACAGCTCGTCCCTCCACGTTAACCTTGGTTCATGTCCGTTTGCCACCTGGATTTTCAGCTTCTTCTAATGTGGAGAAGCCCACAAAGGTTCACAGAGCTCTGTATAGCAAAGGTAAGCAGTGGAACACAGCTCAGAGATTTTATTTTAGGCCCATATTTGTTCATACCTTTCAGAGGAGATGGCAAATGAGGTTAAAAGTGACCTTCTGAAGAACCCTATGACATACAAACTCAGGAGATACTATTTGCTGTTCAGATTGCATGATTAGGACTTAAAGATTGATTTTTACTGCATAAGGAATGAGTTAATGAATTTGCAGCTAATGCATGATTATTGCTTCTAATACAAACTTAATATCGCTGTTCTTGCTAGGGGTCCTGCTGATGGCAGCTTCAGAAAATGAGGATAATGACATCCTGTGGTGTATCAATCACGATTCTTTCCCTTTTCAAAAGCCAATGATGGAAACACAGGTACTAAAGCAACTTTTTATACAATTTTGGTGGAATCTAGAGAAGTTTTCCTTTCTGATAACAGGTACTTGAATAATACTATCTGCAAATGGGTAGCTCACATAAAACTTCCATGAGGAGCTTGGAAATGCTTACCAAGCTACTAATCTATATGCTTCAAAAAAAAAAAAAATAGTAGGCAGTTTTGTCTGTCAGTGAATGGGGACTGATCTCTTAGTAGGAATTCCTAGTTCAGCCATACTTCTAGCTTGATGCATGCTATATATCAAAAGCAATTGCCTTGACTTTTAAGAACTTGACTTCTAATTAACATATTTGAAAAAGTTGTCTAGCATGCTGCATATTGTGCACAAGCACAGGAAGACATGGTCCACAGTCCCTAGTGGTGTTTTTTGATGAGGATAAAATTTGGCAAAGATTGTTTTAAATATAGGTGCTAGAGACTTTGGGTTTCTTTTTAAACTGATATGCAACGTCTTCATTAAATGTCAGACATAATTAATCTCTTCATTATTTCATGGGGTTTTTTCTGATTTTCTTTTTCCTAATTGTTACATAAGTGGGTTTGTAAGAGGAGTTTGGAGTGGGTTAGTTGCCTTGTGCATCAGTTCAGGGAGAACATTCCAGGTATTCCATCTCTGAAGGAAGTCAGAAGTCTGCTGAAGTAGAGGAGTGACATGTCAAAAACAGTATTATTGGAGGAGCAGTGGTAAAGTTGAAGTAAATGGAGAGACTGTATAAGTTAAAAGTTTCAAAGTAAGGTTTTGATTTATCTGCTGGTTTAATAACTTACAAAGGAGCTTTATAATTTCTCCAGATCCCTTGCCTGCAAAAACTTACACATAAATATCCTAAGTGCTGACCTCTCTCTTTTTTTCCAAGGCATTTGACAGTAACAGACAGCTAGGTTTCCCAAACAAAACTGCAGTCTGTTCTTGAGCAGCAGTTCCCTTGTCAGCATACATAGTTTTCTGGAATGTCTTCATTACCGTATGTCTCTTGAGTTGCATTTGAAGTACTGTGGCCAACTGTGAAAGTCTTTTAAACCTTTATCATTCAGTTGCCACATTTTTTGATTCTTTAAGAAATTATGTAAATTCATGATACCTTTGGTAGTTTGTTCTGATATGGTTAGCAGATTGTTGCTGTTTATATTGTAGCAGCATTAAAGGATCCCACTTTGCAAGTTGTTTTACATTTAAATACAAAACACTATCCCTGTCCCCCAAAAGCAACAGTATATACAGAGCTGCAAATTTGGTGGTAACCTTCTGTTAGACAATACAAGAACTTGCTTATTTTCTTTGGGTTTTCTTGTGTCAAGAATAGATTTTGATCTGTGTAGTTTTAAATGGTAAATAATAAAATACCATCATGGATGTACAAAATCCATGTCTGTTACCAAAATTTGGATAATATCTATCTGTTGTTCAGATGACTACCCGTGTTGATGGACATTCCTGGGCTCTTTCTGCTATTGATGAATTTAAAGTTCAGAAGATTGTAACACCGCTAAATAAAGACATTATTCCAATAACTGATTCACCTGTTGTTGTGCAGCAACACATGCTGCCACCTAAGAAGTTTGTTCTCCTCTCAGCCCAGGTGAGTATTAGTTTCCTTAATATAGGCAATCAGGACACTAAGTATAAAGTTGGCAGACTGATCTAAACCTGTCTATGTTTATTAATTTTGGATATGTTTTATGGATTATATTCTGAACATAAAAAGGAATAAGGAAGAAGGTTGCTGAAACCATCCTTACCTATTTTAAATTTACTCAAAGCTATTGGGCCAGCTTTTCTTTTACAGTGTATTAATAGTTTTTGTTGGTTTCTGGAGACCCTTGTAGGTACAGATCATCTGAGAAGTTCTCTTAACCTTGGTTACACTCATGATTATATGAAATTGAAACAGACACCAGCTGCCCAAAAAATATAGTTTGAGTCAATATTCTTGGCAATTGAAATTTGAATAAATAATGTCTTCTTTGTCATAGAAGTCATCTCAAAAGGGTTTTTTGAAAGGGTTTTAAAAACAAAACCCACAAAAAGAAAAAAGAAACTAACTTCCCTACTTCTGTTTTCTGGTTACATATAGCAATGTTTTAGGGCACTTAATGTCTTAAACAAAAAAAAAAAAATTCAATCATTAATGTCTTGCAACCTTTAGACTCAACCTGCATTTGTTTAATGGCAGCTGTTTTGTTAAAGGCACTAATTGGACCCTCTTCAGTAGTTAGTATGGATGCAGGCAAGATGATTTGAGTGTAGAGTCTTACCATGCTCTTGATCCTGAATTCAAGCTTTTTTTTCCAGGCAGTTTTGAGGATTTGCAAGATACATAAAGCCTTTCTTTTCTGTATATACTTGCTATATGTTTGTATTGTATGCTTCATGTTAGGCTAAGAACAGCAAAATTAACTCAGTTCATGGAGAATTTATAGCCATTGCAGTATTTTTCTTGCCTTTCCTAGACTCACTAGAGAATTTTCCGCATGTGAATGGGAACTGGGCTTTAGGCACCATTCATGTTATACTTTGATCAATAGTGCGACGAAGGAAAATTCAGAATGCTAAAGATAAGCATTGTGGGGAGAGGGTGTTGGGATGGCCAGAGGAAAGACAACTTTATTCTAACTTAGTTTGGGTTACTTTTAGGGGAGTTTTATGTTTCATAAACTCAGACCTGTCGATCAGCTGCGGCATCTGCTTGTCAGCAATATAGGTGGAGATGGAGAAGAGATTGAAAGATTTTTCAAGTTGCATCAGGTAAGAACTTTTGACCTGTTAAGAAAAGTGGAAGATTTATAACATTTATGTAAATCTTATTACTTTCTTTAACATCTTTTTGTTGTTGCTTTAAACTTCTAGTTAACATTTCATTTATCAGTTAAAGTATTAGCTTTTCCTGCTGTATTGTGTACATAAAACAAGACTGTATAATGAGAAACAACTTCTCATTTTATGATATCTAAAAATGGAAGTGTAATCACTTTCCCTGAAATTCTCATGTGTCTTGTACGCAGAAGTATAATGCAGTTCTTAGTTTTGGAAGGAGGTTCATCTAAGAGCAGGGGAGGAAGAGTTTCTAAAAAACTTTAATTCCTACCACTACAAGAGATTTTTACATTTTTAAGGCTATTAGAAATGTGGATAATTGCTCTGGTTTTTTTGTTTAAGGTAAATAACAAGCAGGAACGAAGCTATTGTGGATTACAATTTTAATTTGACTAGTACTGATTAGTATCTGTAGTGAATGTTCACTCTATTCTGTTGTGCTTTGATAGGACGTCTTAAGTGATATTTTAACATGCCATTAGAATATGCAAACCATTATTTATATAGATTTTTTCTTCAAACACAATCTTAATTTACGTTTCTGTAGAAATTGCATGAATCTTAGTCATAATTAGGTGACAGACGTGGAGATTGTCTCCTGCCAGTAATTGTACTGAGTTTGCAAAAACTGTGTATAACAAAAACTTACCTGCTACAGTGGGATGCCTCACCATGATTCACTTCCTGTCTATAATCGGGAAGAGCTGATTTCCTTGCCTTCTAAATAAAACCATGCAAAAAGTAGTTACTGTTTAGTTATTGAGCAATATAACCTTTATACGTTTCTTATCAATGTGATACAAGCTGCCACACTAATAGTGTAATATGCTCTAGGAGGATCAGGCCTGTGCCACTTGCCTTATCTTGGCCTGTTCTAATGCTGCATGTGATAGAGAAGTATCTGCCTGGGCTACTCGAGCATTCTTCAGGTAAGTTTCAGTTCTGTAGGCTGTTCTGAATATTATGCTCAGGATCACTACAGGCATTAAATAATTGTACAGGCTCTTTTACCTGCTGCCTGAGCAAGCATTGTTTTAAAATGAGTGTAGGCTATTAAAATCTGGTAAAATATGCTTTTGCACTAATTTTGGGCTCATCAACAAAGGAAGCTTCCTGTAATGGTGATTTCTGGTTCGTTCCCCTTTTGGATGCTTCTATTCCACATGTAGAGGAGGCTATTGAAAATGTAGTTGAATCTGCTTGAAATGCCCTTATCTGTGCTTCACAGTATCCCAGTTCATTGAAGTGTAGTGTATAGTAATATCTTTAAAGACACCAACTCAGACAGCTGGAAAAAGAACAGACAAAATTTTTAATTTTTGTGGAGTTTTTGGGTTTGGGTTTTTTTTGTTTTGGTTTGGTCTGGGTTTTTTTTTTTCTTAATGTATTGTAGTTATGTATGCTGTTCACCATTGTGCCAAGGAAATTTATATTCAAATAGACTTACCCTGTTCAGGGCCTGATGGCTCTTGGTCATAGACGTTGATTTTTATTTTTGGAGGGGAGGGGATTGTTTGGTTTGGTTTGGGTTTTTTCCACTGCAAATTGAGTGAGGAAGTACGGGCTTCTACTCTGGAGGATTAATTTGTCATCTATGTATCTTAAGGACTGCATATCCTTGGTATGGTGCGGATACATATATTTTCATTAGCTGCATTAAACAGGTTGGTGTATTGTGAGTCTCTTGGCTGTCCTCACAGGGCATGTAGCCTGGAGGAAGAAAGGGTTTTGCTAAGATACAGCTGTTGAAAGTGATGATAAAATGTGCAGCTTTGACTGTGTGTTTGTGCTAGAGTTCAAGTGTTATGCTCCCAAAAGCTTGCTTGTTCTTTTCCAAAACTTGTGCAGGTGTTAGATCAAGTCAGCTATTCTGAGTAGGCTGTGAATAGCTGCTTTTTGTTAAACTCAATTACATTACAAGATCTGAGAGAAAATGTGGATGATAACTCTGGAGAGATAGGAGTTAGCAAGGGAAGATGTAAGAAAGTGCTCCTGTAGAGGTACAGGAGAGAGATGGATAGAAATTACTTGTGGACAATAGAAGGATAAGCACAGGTCATCTCAACTGTGTCCTCCCTTCCACTTTCCTGTAGAGGCAAACCTTAAAAAGATACTAAAGCATAAGCCTGATTTTGAGAATTGGTAAATTTGTCTTCAAAGTCAGGTCATATGATATCACCACAGAACTTAAAACATCCACCAAAAAAAAAATTTTAGTTGTTCATCTAACTTACTTTGCAATTGCATGTGTTAATGCTTTTCATATAACACGTATTCAGTTAGTTTTCTTTTCTTCTGCCGAAAGTATCATACAGTCACAAATATTTCTGAAAAATTATGCTTTTTTTTTTATTCCCCACTTTAAAAGAACATCAAAATTTCTGTTAATTCTCAAAGACATGCAAATTAAATGGGACTGTATATGAAATGTGAGGAATTTTTGTCTTTCCATGTAAACTTTAGGTATGGTGGTGAAGCACAAATGAGATTTCCGTCAGCTCTGCCTCCTCCAAGCAATGTTGGACCTATTTTGGGTTCTCCTGTTCCTGCCGGTAAGTAGCAAGCATTTCATGGTTTTGGACAGGCTTTTTTTCCTTAAATATGTTGTATTTTGTCTTCTCACAAGTACCTGTGTTCTTTTTGTCTGAAATAGTCCTTGATTTTCCACTCACTGGCTAATTAATTGCAGAGTTTTTTCCATTTCTCTTGAGTGATTTTTGGATTTAGTGAGAGGGTGACGTGACCTCAAACTATGTCTGGGTGTTGCATATAATCTGTTAAGACTATGTGAAGAAGGTATACATTTGTTGCTGCCAGAGGCACTTCAGCAGCCAGAGAACAATTTATCAATACTATAGTTCAAACTTTACAAAGATTAGTTGGTTGTTGTGTGGCTATAGCAGAGTATCTTCTTATAGTGTCATTGTCATACCTCTGCAGATATGCTTATGAGAAGAAAAGTTTTGATCAAGAAATGGATTAGGTGTTTGGAGTGATTCTCGCTGTAAAAGCTCTAGCTTCAACACTGGGTTTCTGCTTAGGTTGTCAGTGCCACCTACAAATGAGAATAGTGCCTATTCTTTTTCCTCAGAACTTGATGTTTATTGGAGTGAAGGCCTTTCTGCATTACTCGAATTCACTTAAATTTCTACAGTTGCTTCAGGAAGTTGTCCCTTAACATGTATTACTCAACTCCAGATCTTAAGGGTTTTTAAAAAAGAACTTCATAATCATGAATTTGGAACTCTGGTTGAATTACTGAATTTAATTAATTAATTTATTTATCAGTAACTTGTTAATTTCCAAGATCCTTTACCCTTATCTGACATGTGGCATTCAATCTTGCACATCAGACTTGGAAAAAACTTGATTGTCTGGAATGCAATAAAAGTCCATTTCAGTACCATTTTTGACATATATCCAAATTCCTAAGTATTGGAGAAAGGTGTGCTGAACTGGGATGAAGTTTTGGAAAAACAGTTGACTGTCTTTTTCAGAATTCTTAACTAGTACTAAACCATTATGAAGAGTACCTATTTTTAATGCATCAGTGGCATCACTTTTCAAGCTTGATGGTGTGTAACAGTAGCAATGTGGGCAGGAGCTGAGGCAAGACTTAAGAATGGAAAATTAAATCTGAGTTGGAGAAGACAGCAGCTATGGGGAGGACAGGTGCTAGAAGCAGACTGAAAATGAAAGTAAGGTGTGGAGGAAATAACAGGAAGCTCTGTCATCAATAACGTGTCTCCTTTTAGAAGTAAATATATTTTTCCCAAGTCTGAATGTTTGGATATTGTTATCATTTGCTGTGTATATGCCTCTTTGAAACCTAGTATCAAAGCACGTGTTTCCATTTTGCTTCAGTGACAGGTCCAGGTGGAAGATGGCACCATTCTTCTGCTACTACTTACTCCGTTTGCTCAAAGGGTAGAGAACTGTCATGTGAAATTAAGATTCTGATATTGTGGATGTCCCACATGGTGGGTCAGGCAGTGCTGACAGAAATTGATTAAAACACCTTGAAATTTTGCATGTGAAACTACATTGCAATAATGTTATCATTAAAAAGCCGGGCACCTTTAACGTAGTTCCCGCTTTTTCTCACTGTTTAAAGTCTAGTCATGCATTCGCATGCTGCTTTTCTGTAAGTTTGTGCTTTGCTTGGCACACAGGTGAATGTGCTCTGAGAATGCATTGGCACTGTTTAGTGAAAGACTTTGTTATCCTTTGTGCTGTTGTTTGTTGCCAAGTTGAGAGAACTATAGTGAATACGGCAAGAAGGACTGATTCTTTGATAAAAGCCGAATTTTCAGAGTGCCAGTTTTCTTGCCCTTTCTGTGATATATCATCCCACATTCTGAAGGTACATGGACATTTTTGTAGATGACCACATGTGTTCCTTATATTTTGGGCTCTTAAGTTAGGTATTCAGACTTAATTTGCAGAAGAGTTGAGTATTCACAGCTGAATCTGAGGCCATGGACAGTCTCAAACTGAACATTCCAAGTTAACGGTGTTGCTGTAGTGTTTGTCCAACAAACATGTAAAAAATGCCTCATGTAAAAATGAAGAGTAACAATACCAGTTTCTTTCAGTTGAGTGCTTCAAAGGTAAAATTGATATTCTTTGAAAACATGTAAATGACTGAAAGTGAGTGCTTTGAGAATAGGTGCCCGTATCAGGAATGGGAGCAGTCAGAAGGTGAAGAACAAGAAAAGGTATGCAGACAGTATTATATCCAATGCAGGGAACAGATGGTGTGCAATAAATAACACGTGAGTGCTGGGGAAAAAAAATGCTTAATAACAGCACTTGAAAGAAGTGTATCCATTTGGCTCACTGACAGAGTGTTGTTTTGATAAGAAATGAGTGCAATTTGGTATTTAACTGTAAATAAAAGCTGTTGGAATGGTTCTAACTTAAAGTACTTGATTTAACAACTTTGCTGCTTTTGCACAGGGATTTTATGGGTTATATTTTGGTTTGGGTTTTTTTATTTGTTTAATTGTTTTTAACAAACTTACCTTTATTTCTTTTCCCTTTTAGGTTCCCCCTTGACTGTTGATAGTCCATATCCTAATCTTAGCTTTTTGACAACACCTGGGCAGGGTAATGCCTTCTTTTCCCTTGCTGGAGAAAGGGGAGAATTTTTTTTTTTTTTACTAGGCTTTTTTATTTGCATTCAAATGAGTAATATTTACCTACTTTTACCCTAGGTTTACAACCTCCTAGTATGACAACTTCCCTGTTTCCTTCTGGGAATTCCATATCTCACCCTGGTACATCCATTAGTGGAATGATGGGTCCTGAGATAGTATTTTCTGGAAGACACAATGGCATCTGCATATACTTTGCTCGGATTATAGGGTGAGTGTTTGTGTAAAAGGAGATTCTGTCACTCAATTTGTTTCATAGTTTTTCTTTGCCCTAATGATTGTATGTGGTGAATTGTATCTTAATAGCATTTAAATATGCAATCAGTAAAGTGCATTTTTATGTTCTGTTTATGAAGTACCCATTGATATAATACATTCTTTTTACAGCTCTATTAATAATACATTCAGTGAATGGCTAGGACAGGAAAGTTGCTTAGACATTGATCCTGCAATCAAGTTTATATGCACAACTCTAAAAACTGCAGTTTTATTTTTCAAACCTATGAGCTGTATGTTTCAAACTCCTACTAAAGGGTGAAACAGAAATGCAGAAGGACTCACAGGATCAAAGTCCTGGCTTGAAGTCTTTTCTGTTAAGAAGCTTTAAACAGAGTGCTCAAATCAGGGCAATGAAGCAAGACTAAAGAGCATTCAGTTACTTGGATGTTGAGTCCTGTGTTACTAAACACTCCAAGCAAGAACAGAACTCTTCATATGTTGGTCATCTCTGCATGCTGGTTGGGAAAGAAATTTTTGTTACGACACTTGTTTGCATACACTATATTTCCAGAGAATAATATTGACCTATATTTAAAGTATTTGAGAGTGTCAAACTTCATTTGATTAAAGTTCTAAAATTTGAAATTTTGTTCATTATCTATATCTGTACCATTCAGAAATGTATAATGGTAACTTTTTTTGAGTGTTTAATTTTCATCCACATTAAATCCTTATTTTAGACCTTGAAGTGAAAAGCATTACCATTTCTTTCTTAAAAAATGATACGTAGAAGACTTGCAAAAATACTTGCTTAAATTACTTGGCTTTTAACACAGTACTGTTTTGTGTTGCAGAAATATTTGGGATGGCAGTATAGTTGTGGAGAGAGTTTTCAAAAGTGGCAATCGAGAAGTTGTTGCAGTAAGTAAAAGAATATTTTTTATTTTTAGAAGTTCCTTATAGTATATATTTTAAGCCCTGTTATAATTCTCTTCCCAATTATAAGCAGATAAGGAAAAAAATGTTGTTGTCAATTTGAATGTTTTCTTAAGTGCTGTGCTCTTAACTGAGAAGTAATTGTAGGTTTTAAATCTTTTTAAGCTACTATTTTGAAAGTTACTTTTTAAGAAACCTAACTGTAATTTGATCTCAGTTGTTAATTGGCAATGGCCAGTTTTCTCTGTGTTTAGTGATTGCACTTCCTTCATTTCTGCCTACCCCCTCCAGACAAAGCCTAAAAATAAAATGCTTTAGTGGGTTAAGGGTAAACATTGCAGTTATGTAAGGACATAAAAAAATTTCCAGCATCTTCTTGGTGTTTCACTTTTTGTCCATGATCAAAATAGCAAAATGTTTTCTGACTGTGGATGTTAATAGAATCCTAAAATAAGTCATTTCAGCAATGCAGATTAACTGCTATATGACCTTTCCTCTTCCAGTTAAGATAACTGGGAGACTCTGGAAGACCTTAGCAGTTACACTCTGTGTCTTAGCAATGCTCAATCATTGTTTTATTTCAGAGTTGGAAATAGTAAAACACAGCTGATTTGGTTATCAGAGGGGCAATGAAAGTAACATCTTGAATACCGTATGTCTTCGGAGGACTACTGCCTCTTCACACGCATGCCTCTCCTCAACAGCTGTGGTGTAATAATGTTGTGTTATAGTGATAGCATTACTCTTATGCTATTTATTTATGTATTTATGTACCCTCTTTGCATTTGTCTTTTTAGTGGCTTTAGTTCAAAACTGCAAATTTTTTTTTTTTTAAAGTTTGGAAACTAAGCTTTCTGTAAAGAAGTCTGCTTTCTTTTGCAGGTAGAAAGCAGTGTTCCATCACATGTGCTGGAATGTGTACTACAAGAACTAAAAGGTTTACAAGAATTTCTGGATAGAAATTCACAGTTTGCTACAGTAGGAGCCCTTGGAAACCCAAGGTATTATTCATTGTGTTAAATTTACTAATGGTATTAACTGTCCAGCTCTTGAAAAACTACACCAGTATTTCTGTTGAGTTGAAGTGTATGTATGGTCTCCAGCTTCAACTATTCAGATGCTAAAAATCAGTTGTTAGATTTCATCTTTAAAAGATTCAGTATTTGTAATCATATTAGCATCTCTTTATTTTGGAATTGCAGTTTCAGCACACCAGCCAATCTGCAACAGAGGCTCCTGGGTTTCATGCGGCCTGATGGTGGAAGTTCTCAGCAAGTCCAGCAAGAGCTCCAGAGGAAATACCATGGTACGTAATTACTTTTTAACAGGAAGTACCAGGGAATGGTGCGTTTCTGTGTTGCCTTTCTCACTTCTCTTGTTAAAACCTCTGAATAAAAATGCCTTTTTTCTATACAAATTTGACATTAATCAATATGCTATAATTGGTTATAAGTTCTTTAGAAAAAGGACTAGTTTGGAAACCAACTTTGCTAGCACCTTGCTTTTGCTTCCATACCATATCATACTGTTTCATCAGGAGCAGAGCTTCTGCAGTGATGTTAATGTGAAAAAATCATTTACATATGACTGTACTAGAGATGAAGTATATAACCAGAATGAAAACTCAACTCTAGACAGAGAAACATTCCCGCCTTTAGGTTGACTGTGGCAAGAGACTTTGTTACACGCTGCAGATGTTACCTTTCAGTTTGATATTGAAAGCTATAATATTGCAACTAACTAAAGCAGTCCACAAAGGAGGATCTCTCTCTGGGAAGGAAATCTGGGTTTCAGCACAGTAACATCTAGTGGTCTTGAGCCACTGCAAAACACAAATTGTATCTCTCAATTTATTAAGCTAAAATAAAAGTGCTTGAACTTTAAAGCACTTTTAAACTTAATAACAGAATCTAATTTCAATTCTGTGTAGATACATGTCCTCTTTATCCTATTTTTCCCATTCAGATAGTCTTGAAACACAAAACTAGAGGTTTCTTTGCACACTAACCTGTCTTCTTTTTTTTATTCCTAAAGTTCTCCATGTTCCATAAGGTTATTTTATCTCCTCATTACAATACTTGGTAGCTGCACACCCATTTGTATTTTCAGGATAGCAATAGTTAAGCAATTCGTTTGTGAGACAAGTATGTTGTTCTATTACAAAGAAATACCGTAATGCAAATTGCCAAAGTTACAGTCACTGAAACGTCTACAAAACTTTGTTTAGAAACAAGAGGCTTGTCACACACCCCATTTGAACTCATGTCCTCCTATAGTGTAGCTTTTGCCCAGCACTTGCAGGCAGGTTGGAAAGTGTTGCTGATGTGTATACAGAATTGAAGATGGTTGCGGTCTATGTGAGTATAATCCTGGGTTTTAGTTTCTACTACTTTTTCTGTACTGCTCACTTTTTATACTGTGAGTAAATTTTTTTTAAAAAGTCATTATGTGGAATTTGGTAGACGTTTAATAATTTTATTTTTCATTTTTATGCATTCCAAAGTCCATAAACACTTCTGGATTGCTAAATGACACAATATAATTACTACTGCCTCATTTCTGAACTGTAAGCACTCAAAAGTAAAGACCTAAATTGTTGCAATTATGTTCCACCCATATAATAAGTATGTCCATATTATTCTTTCAGTGAATATAATACATCTTATGAGATTTAAATGTTACTGGTTTACAGAGTTGCTGTTCCTTTAAAGATAGTGTAGACAGTGTTGACCAAAGTTGTAACTGTAATTGTTCTTTCTAAAAGCATACACAGGTAATCAAACAAAAAGGGAATATGTATGGTTTTATTTTTATTTTGTTTATGTTCATCATAAATACCTTTATAATAACTATTTATGAAAAAAACAAGCAAAAATTTAAGACTGAGAGGTAAATCCAGTGCACTTACATGAAGCCATACTACTTCTCAGAAAGGAATCCTCCATTGTTGCATAGTTTGAAATAAATGTTAACAGATGGTATTTGCTTTGGGGAAACGTTAACATGATACTTTTCCTCCAAAGGTCAGACAGCATTAATCAAGAATGGAAGAGAAAAAAAAATTAGAAATTTAAGGAGATTGTTATTGTAAAAACTCAAAAATTTACATGCTAATTTGAAACATGTAGAACAGTTACTTATTGACAATCTGTTTGCTTTTTTAGCTGAGGCACAGCTAACTGAGAAGACCTCACTTCAAGGCATCCAGCAGCTTGTTCGCAAAACCTGCCAGGCATTGGCTTTATGGAAGTTGCTGTGTGAGCACCAATTCAGTGTTGTTGTAGGTGAGCTTCAGAAGGTACGATTTGAATCATATGATTTTCTCTGGTTTTAACATCTGAATTTCTTTTGCTACCTAAATCCTCCCAAAGGAGTGTTACTTTAATTCATTGAGAAACATATAATGAATTTTAAACCACATATTGAGTTTTTACTTGGGTTGCAAGTGTTCATTTTTAAGAGACTGACATGTAGTACTGACCTCATCACCCAGTTTTAGCAAATTGGAAGTATCGCTAACAATAGATTTTATTTGACTTTTATTGACAGTTAATAAATTTTTATTTTATAAATAAATATAAATTTATTTATAAATACAGTTTTATAAATTACTGTGTTTTCACCTTAAGCATATTCTGCAAAATGTGCTGAAAAGAAGAGACCAATATTGTCCAGTCGAGAGGAATTGACTCTTTGCCTTAGTGTTGGTAAAGGTTTAACAGTAGAGAGCAGTAGGGTTGTAGAGTCTCAAACCCTTGCACTTTTGTGTAAGTAGGGGTCCAGAATGTATCACAGAATAGCTGAGGTTGGAAGGGACCTCTAGAGATTATCTGCCCCCTCTGCTCAAAGCAGGGTCAACTAGAGGAGGTTGCCCAGGGCCATGTTCAATAAGGTTTTTAATATTTCCAAAGGTGGAGACTCCACAGTGTCTCAGGACAACCTGTTCCAGTTGTTCAACCACCTTTAGCGTAAAAAAGATTTTTCTTATGTTCAAGTTCCTTTGCTTCATTTTTTGGCCATTACATCATGTCCTGTCACTGGGCATCACTGAGAAAAGTCTGGGTCTGCCTTCTTTACACCTTCCCATAAATATTAGTAAGATCCCACACACTGCCCTCTGAGCCTTCTCCAGGCTAAACAATCCCAATTCTTTCAGCCTGTCCTTGTTTGTAAAGAAGGAAACCTGCAGAGCTATGCGTGCTAACTGCTGTGTACCCTTTGCTAATGCTGAATTTGCAGCTAGCCATTGACGAAGCTATTAATTCAAATACTAGGCATTCTGTCCTAGCACTTGGTAGGAAAATAGATTATTGGAGAAGTTGTATTCTTTGCCAATAAAAAGAATTTTTAGACTTTACAAATGCACAGAAGCTGGAGCTCTTCACACTGTTGCTTTGGGGAGTTAGCACGATTTCTAGCACAGGCAACTTTTCTCTTGTGTTGGACAAGGAGTTAACTAATTGTTTAACAAATAGAAATTTTTTCTCTGTCTTCAGTAGTTCTAGAGTTCTCGTAATAGTATTTTCATGCTGTTAGTGATCCTACATAGACACTACATAGGCACTACTGCTCTGTGTGAGCAAATATTCCTAATAATTAAAAAAAATAATAAAATTCGATGTAATTTAATATAAAAAAGCATAAAGAGTACAAACCTCAAACTTTGAAAATTCCTTCTTTTTATGCATCTGTCATTTTTTTATCTATGACAGTAGTCAGATGGTTCCTATTACTAAAAACTGTGACATACTCATTTTAGATGGTGTGCATTCTGATGGTGTGCTGTGAAGTAATGAGAACTGCTATTTCCATTCTTATAGAGATCGGAAACAAAAGTGACACATGGTGAAGATGGCAGAGGAAGTCTGCTAAGAGTTCTCACTGTTCTTTGGCATCCAAGGGTCTAGTGCCTTCATTGATAGGGCTTTCTTTATTATTTCCATTTTGCTATATAGTATGTATTTTAAATATGTATTTCTATGCTGTGCATGTCAGTCGTTGGAGTTTTGTGTGGTTTTATTTACTGGAAGCCATTGATTTTGCTACTGTTACATGGTGACTTGTAAAGAGAATAAAGTAAAAACTTTGGTAAACTAATGAAATTCTGTCTATCTTCAGGAACTTCAAGAACATCTAAAGATTACTGCTTTTAAAGACTTGGTAATTAGAGACAGAGAGTTGACTGGAGCACTCATTGCTTCTCTCATAAACTGTTACATCAGAGATAATGCTGCTGTGGATGGCATCATTGCCCATTTGCAAGATATCTGTCCTCTTCTTTATAGCACTGATGATGCTGTGTGTTCCAAGGTAAGCGCACTTTTCTACAGCACTAAACCACAACTTTAGAACATGTTCAAATGAGAGAAGTTGGGCAGCTTGCAAATCACTATGCTTAAGTAGTTTCAGGAGCACAAGAATTAATGAAGGGAGGTCACATGCCTATTGGTGTCTTGTAGTTGATTAATGCTGAAAATTATGCAAGCTCTGGTTTGAAGCATTTCCAGTTATTTGTAGTGTTCATAGGGTCTCTACTTTCAGTGTGATGTCTAATAAAACTGTCTTCTTGATGTTTATAAAATGTGTTCTTACTCCAGCCTTTCCTTAGCAAGTCTCTTGTTTTCTGTCTGTTGCCTGGTTTCACGGAATTTGTGGGAAGATGATTGTGTTTTAAGAATTTCACTCTCTCAAGCTCTTCAAATAAATTTGAAAAAAGTAACTGGTGAGGGGAGAACGAGGAACCAGTTGGTTGGTCAAGTCTTAAGCCCTTCTCTCTACTGCCATTGTACAGTCTTTGTGCTCGAAACTTAGTGTTATCAAGTGGCAAGAGAGTGCTTTTGAGAGGATGATGTTTCTACTGTTTCAGCTTTGAAGTTTGGAATAATGACTCATTAACTTACAACAGTAGCCATGATCTGTTCATGATGTGTTCATGTGAATAATTTCCATTTTCCCATCATTTGTCTTTAGGCAAATGAACTGCTTCAGCGGTCTCGACAGGCTCAAAGCAAACTGGAAAAAGAGAAGATGCTAAGAGAGTCACTGAAAGAGTACCAGAAGATCAGTAATCAAGTAGACCTTGCTAATGTTTGTGCACAATATAGGCAAGGTAAGAGGCAATCACTGATCACGTTCTGGTAAATAGTTTCTCTAGTATCCTTTAGTGCCATCTTTTTTGTTTGTTTTGTTTACTAACTTTCAACTCATTTTATAGTGTTTTACCATAAACAGTTTCTTAACTCTTACAATGTACAATGAACAATACGTCATGTTCTTGTTTAAAGCCTTTCTAGATTTCACCAACCAATCAAAAACCTCACTTCTGTATAAAAATATTCCTATCCATTTATTTCACATTACAGTGTCCATTTGTTTCATATATGTAGTAAAAACATTTTTAGGAAATTTGTTGGCCTGTTTGTAAGCAGAGGGTAAATGACTGTACTTTTGCAGGCAAGGTTTTATACCAAATATGCTGTTTGAAACATGATTCTGAATCCTGCCTTGTGCATTGGAAGCTAGTACATAATTTAATGTAGATATAACTGTTGTAATAGTCAAGATTTCGGCCTCTGTACAAATACGTAACTTCAAACTTGCATATAATCCCACAGCTTAGGTACAGGCATAAATGTGTATATGATACAGACCAGGGGAATGGGGTTTATTTTTTCTTGCTTGCTAAAATGGGAAGTCTTTGATGTCACTTAAAATTTTGGCATACATTTAATACAATAATGAATGGTGATATTTGTTGTGGGTTTTTTTTCCTAGTGCGTTTCTATGAGGGAGTAGTAGAACTCTCTCTTACAGCTGCTGAGAAGAAAGATCCCCAAGGTCTTGGCCTTCATTTCTATAAAAATGGAGAACCAGAAGAGGATGTTGTTGGACTCCAAGCCTTTCAAGAGAGGCAAGTTTTCAGGATACCTTATTACCATTATATGGTGTCCTTTATTTCAAGTGACTGGAAAAGTAACTCTTTTGGGGAAGGTATGTAGGGTAATGACAAGCAAGCATTTTATAATAAGGGACACAATATAGATGTATTTGCCTAGCATGCTCTCCTTGGTTATCATTAACATGGCACCAACTTAGCCTGGAACAGAGGGTAAACTGATAGATGCAGAAAACATTGTGATCTGAACATTACAGAAATACTTGTTAGAACGATTATTGAGAACAAACTAGATTGTGGCAACTAGCTGGCAATAATCTGTGACCTTTTCTAAATTTTAGTAATTGTGTTTACAAAGGCATACAATAACAACATTTGAGAAGAGTATTTCATAGATAGCTGCAATGAAATTTGGAGGCCTTTATGTTATTTTGCTCTGTTTACAGATTGAACAGCTACAAGTGCATCACTGACACCCTTCAAGAGTTAGTGAATCAAAGTAAAGCTGCTCCTCAGTCTCCTAGTGTACCCAAAAAGCCAGGTCCTCCAGTGCTGTCATCTGACCCCAACATGCTAAGCAATGAAGAAGCAGGGCACCATGTAAGAAACTCAGAAAAAAAATCATGACTGAACTCCAGAAAATAGTGTGATTTGAAGGGGTGTAGAATTTATTATTTTAAAAATTTAATGAATAGTTTAGCAAAGTAGATAAAAGTCAAGATTTGTCATGAATTGGCTTCTTTTTGTACAGAAAGTTCATAGAAGTGATGACACACAAATAATGTGAACCTAAGTATTGTCCCATATGTATTCAGTGCTTGATGTAATGTAACCACTTCTGGAATAACAGCTTTGGCCTTTTCTTCCCTTAGTTTGAACAAATGCTAAAGCTGGCTCAGCGTTCAACAGATGAACTCTTCAGTATTGCACTTTACAACTGGTTGATACAAGTTGACTTGGCTGACAAACTGTTACAGGTGAGCTTATCTCTATGCAACAAAGTAATTTGTTGGAGGGTTCCACTGAACTGGAAGAGTTAATTGTAATAATGCCAATCCTTTAAAAAAGAGGACATACCAAGAATATAAATGATATCTTTATGACTTTTGCAGGTTACTTCCCCCTTTTTGGAACCCTACCTTGTGCGGATGACCAAGATTGACCAAAACAAAGTCCGTTATATGGATTTACTGTGGAGATACTTTGAAAAGAACAGAAATTTTAGTAATGCAGCCAGAGTCTTGGCTAAGTTGGCTGACCTGCATAGGTATGGATTATATGTGATCTATTGCATATATTGAGGTAATTGGGGAAAAACCAAACGAACTTAAAATCAAAACTTTATGTGTAGGTATTTTAAGAAAAGCTCAAGGACAACAAAAGGCCAATGCCCAAGGATGTTTGCTAAAAAAATTTTAAATGAATGATGGAATATATTAGCTTCTAATCCAGGCCGTTATTGGAAAGAAATTATATGTTTATGTATTATACATTAACTTGCAATGTATTTCCTATTGTAAGTACTGTATGTTATGTGGTTGTTTCTTACACAGAATTTTATAATGCAATAGTGTAATTATGGAGCAGTGGATTGAAGTACACTAGAACTGAGCCTGAAACAAATTGGGGTTACATGGTTGGATAACCTCCTGCATGTTTTAGTAAATCAGGAGAAGTCGCATACTAATTCCCAGAGTCTAGTTAGAATATAACTAACCCTCAAATAATTATGTTAAGTACCCATTTTATTTTGAATATTTGTTTTGCAGCACAGAAATTTCTCTTCAGCAGCGTCTTGAGTACATTGCACGTGCCATTTTGAGTGCCAAAAGTTCCACTGCCATATCCTCTATAGCTGCAGATGGTGAATTCCTACATGAGCTAGAAGAGAAAATGGAAGTAAGAAAAATTAATCTAAGCCACACTGTAAATGCATTATTCACTTTGTCTCATTGGCACATGACATTTTTATTACCAATTCTGTAGAAACAGTCTTCTGTGCTTTCTTCCCAACGTGGCAAAGTTACGCAGTTGATAGGAGGCTCTGAGGTGTAAGACAGTAACATTTCTACATTTAAATAAGTTAAAGTTAATTCTGGGTGTATTGTTAAGGTTTGATTAAATTAATCCAGTCTTGAAATATTTTATTTTTCTTTTTAAACAAGGTTGCAAGGATCCAGCTTCAAATACAAGAAACATTCCAACGGCAGTATTCCCATCATTCTTCAGTGCAAGATGCAATCTCCCAGCTTGATGCTGAGCTGATGGATATAACCAAGGTGATTAAAATTTCTCTGTATTAAAAGTCAGTTTCTCACATTTCAGCATGGGGAAAATGTTTTGTAAAGAATGATTCTATGCTGGCTAGGAAAAGTAATAGACAGTTTGGCATTGCTCGTCTCAGAATGTCTGTTACCCTCAGCTGTCTTTTTCTGTACTTTGATATTGCTTCAATCATTAGTACTTTAATTTCTTCCATGTGTTTATCTTCTCTATTAAGTTTCTTAGATTTCTTCATTTAATGGGAAAATTGTTAGAAAATTAACCATGTTAATTGTAACTTCATATAAAATTGGGGAATTATTTAAGAAGTGAACCTAAATGTAGTAAAAAAAAAAATCATTTAGTATTTGATAGTAGTTAACTTCAGTTGCACCATTACTAGTCTGATGTCCACCATACAAAATAAGGAAAAGCTGATTTTACAAATTTCCTTTTTATCGTACTGGAAATGTAAAGCCTGGTAATTTTTCTTTCAGCTCTATGGAGAATTTGCTGACCCTTTTAAGCTCTCAGAGTGTAAGCTTGCAATTATACATTGTGCGGGTCATTCTGATCCTATCTTGGTGCAAACTCTCTGGCAAGAAATCATTGAGAAAGGTAGGTCTTAATGGACTAGGAGTGGTACAAGCTAGAACTACAGGCAAATGGTACAATTAAAGCTTTTAAGACTGACTGTGCTGCTACTGACACGTTGTCCAAATGAGATGCATCTTTTCTGGACTATTCTGTAATATATTTGGTAAGCGTAGTTAACTAGCAATTCATTAATGTTATTACCTTTGGCTTGTGTACCTAAAGGACAGAAAAGTAATATTTTTACATGTATGCTTGAACATATTGCATGTATAGCTTGCATAATCACATTCAAGATAACATTTAAGAAGTCATTTCCTCCCTTCTTGTTCTTAGATGCCATTATATGTGGACTACAGAATATCTGTGAAATTTTGTCTGAAAGTTTCACTATTAGGAAATTACAATAAAAACGTTAAATTTGTCATGACAAAAATTAAAGAATATTCAGAGACTTCAGCATTTTCATAATATTGACAGGAGTGGAAGTGTAAGGGTTTTGTCCATTTAGAGAGAAGCAGAATATTGGGCATAGCTCTGCAAGCATAGCCACTCTACTGGGATAATCTGCCTCACCCTTTACCATGAGTTTGTACTTCACTCTCTCTTCCTGGTTCATTTTTTTTTTCCTTGGATGTTGTGTTTGAGGTTGCCATTGTGCAAACAACATTGACAGTGATTTGAGGGAAAAGCTATGTGGTAGTGGTTTCTTTGTGGGTTTGGTGGGTTTGGTGGTGAGGATTTGGGAGGGGTTGTTTGTTGTCTTTTTTTTTTAAGTAGATTTGCATGGAACTTCAAGGCAACTTAAAAATCTGTCAATATATGTGCATACTACACCAGAAATTGTACTTTCACCTCCACATGCTGATTTTGCACTGACAATAGCGTAAGATTTTGATGTGTTAGTAGTAAATTTAAGTACCTCAGTGTAGTTGTGTATAAGTGTGGAACTTTTTTCCTGAAGTTCTCTCTAAATGATTTCTTTTCACTTTCAGAGTTGAGTGATAGTGTGTCTCTGAGCCCCGCTGACAGAATGCAAGCACTTAGTCTGAAGATGGTATTGCTTGGAAAGATGTATGCTGGCACACCTCGTTACTTCCCTTTAGGCAAGTTGTTTAGCTTGCATGGGAAATAAACATATGCATTACCTGAGACCCATTCAGCTTTCTTTTTAGCCTCTTAAAAAAGTTTTAACCTAAGAAATGTCTCATTTTTTTAAATCTAGAAGGAAAGCATATTGATAATATTGTGATAAATAATTTCATGCTTATGATACATAATTACTGTAGTAATTTGTTGCTTCAGCTACAGTGAAAAATTTCACAAATAATTTCAACTGTCAGCAGTGATGGAGTTGATCTTGAGGGTAGCCAGGTAGTACCTTTTAGTTTTGTTCAGGAAATAGGAAAAAAAGCATTGTGATACTTGCTCGTTATTACAGTGACTTTCACAAGGGTTTGTAGAGAGGGAGTAGAAGTAGAATTCCTATTGGCCTCTAATTTTTTAAACACAGTATAATTGTATGATTGTAAAACCATTACAGTTTTTACAGGTGCACTTTTTCATAGAATTTTCCTAGGGATTTAACCAGAATTTACAGTTTTTCACCCCGAATGGGGAGTAAATGAAGCTTAGAAGGCAGCAACAGTTATTTTTGGATGGCTGTGCAGATCCCGTTTTAGAAAATAGTAAAGTTTGTTTGTATTAAAGTACAAAGTAAAAATGTGTATTTATACATATAATAAGATTTTAGGCAACAAGATTTATCTGCAGTCTTTTGAAGTATCTACTGCTATCTGCAGGGGCAGATTCTAAAAACAATTCAGGACATTTCTGGTTCCTTTTTGATCTTCTTTCTGCTGTTGAGATGCTCACGTTTTGACAACTTGATATTATATAAAAACCTGGAAAATACATTGTTCAGCACTAAACTATATTTTTAGTATACTAAAAGAACATTTAGTACTGAACTATATACTGTTAATTGTTACTGACACTTAAACATGATAAAAGATGCAGTGGTGTTGCTGGCTATTGTAGCAAATTAAATGATAGTGTGATCTTTTGTGCTGAAACAAAAGTTAATGAACTTTTCTTAACAGCGTAGTTCTGTGGCAGAACTGTAATAAAGTATTTAGTATGAGTAATCCCTGTCACGCATTTCTGATAGCTTAATACCATCTTTGGAGGTGGTTACATTTTGCATACCCTTCCTTCAGTGCAGACCAGGGGAAGCTGTTACAGTACGTGCTTCACAGGAGAAAGGTACAAACTGTAAGGAAGACAGAAAATTAAACTTGGAGTAAATCACTTTCAAATGCCTTTCTTTGCTAGACTCCCATTAACAAGTTGGAATCTAAACATCCCATTATTTTTGTCCTCCAGATTTTTTAGTGCAGTTTCTAGAGCAACAGGTCTGCATTTTGAACTGGGATGTAGGTTTTGTAACATATACCATGCAAGAAATTGGAGTGCCATTGCCAAGGCTGCTTGAAGTGTATGACCAGTTGTTTAAAGCACGGGTAAGGAAAATAGCCAAAAAAATAAAAATACTGTTTTCAACTACTATCAAGGTCTGTCTTTAGGGGAAAACATATAATAATTTAAAGCGTGATATATCAAAATACCAACTTCATAGCTTTTGTTCTCTTTTTTACTCAAAGGCTCTTAATGCTCCTTTTTTTCCCCCTGATGATTGTATTCACTTCAGTCCTAAAGTATGAGGAAGATTGTTAATCCTTTTGCTTTACCTAAAGCTGATTTAGGATTAAATAGGATTAGAATTGTTATGTTTCAGAAGGAACAGCGTATCTTGAATATATTAATTTTATTTCCTCTTAATGATTAAAATTTGCTATATTACTGCATCTTGTCTAATCTATTGATGCAATAGGGATAAAGAATAAGAAGTAATATTTTTAACTTTTAGTTTGTAGAACAGGCTTAAACAGCATTAAAACAAAGAGAACTGACTTGCTTCTTTTTACCCAGATTCCTTACAGTGTAAGGAAATCAGAACTTCCTAAAATCTATTACTTTACAGACCGTTAGGTAGTGGCAAACTGAGTTAAATTCATGTATGTTTTAGTACTCAAAAATCAAAATAGTACTTAAATATAGACTTAATATAGATTAAGACAGAATTCCCATTTCTCTTACATTTTTGCTACAATGAATAAATAATTACCACAGCTGGCAATTTGTGTACACACATACAGACTTTTTTTTTCCTTGTCTCCTTAATATTTTGGAATCTTTTTTTTAGGACCCATATTGGAATAGAATGAAAAAGCCTTTACACCTTTTAGAATGTATTCATGTATTATTATCAGGATATGTACATGATCCAAGCAGAGTACTTCTGAGGTAAGAAAGGCAACTATATCCTAATAAATACTGAAAGATATAAAGTATCCTAAAGCACTGAACTTCAACAATCCCCAAAGCTTTTCATCTTTTCTTTTGGGTGAATTTACTATTTCTTTCCTAGCAGTCATTAGTGAGATGACTCATTCAAAACCAGTTGGTGGAAACTTGCAGGGTCCTGCCTATAAACTACTTCAATTAAGATAATTTTCTCCACTTCACTGAAGATTCATGAGGAACTGAGAGGATTATTTTGTGAATCTTGGCACCATACTTTAAGTAGTACAGATAAATTCGAGGGAATCTGGGAAGAGCGGGGAAAAGTGAGAATCAGGCATTTTGTGAATGAAGCAGTGAACTGTTTCATGAAGAAAGGCTAGAAGCACTGAGTTCTTGTATTCTGGAAAAGAGAAGACTAAACATGAGGATAGATCTTCCCAAATTGTTTTTAAGAGGTTGGTGATGAATCACTCTCCAAAACTAAAATTCAGTCTGCAACAGGAAAGAATTCTGGTTTAATATTGGAAAAGGTTTCTAGCTAAAAGAATAGTTATGTACTTGAACAAGTTGCCTGCATATTATACAATCTCTAGCTTTGCAGCTTTTGTGAATAGATTTGTACAAACCTTCAGTTAGAACTGTCTTGTCTCAGAAACAATAAGCAGAACTAGGCAAAGTCTTGATAACTCTTCTAACCATAAATTCTTCTGATTCTCTTGAAAATATACCTGTAAATACTCCCGTTCACATATAGAGTTTACATCTTTTCTCACTTTTTTGGTCTTTTGTGCTTAGCTGATTTAAATACTCTTAACTTACCAGAACTTTAGTGAATGTTGTCTAATTTTAATATCTACTTAGGTATTAATACCTAAGTTGTTGTGATTTGATACTAATTTTAGATACTTAAATTGCTGTCTAAATTAATAACTTAAACATTGATTGTATTCATATCTGAGGTAATCTAAATATTAAATATTTCATGTTGCTATTAACTGTATCATGTTTTATTGTTTATATATTTAATAGCAGGGAAATAGTAATGATTCATCTATTTTCCCATTATGCCTTAGTCACAAGCATTAGATTTCAAAAATCATTTTTTCTAATAAATAGTTAAATACTTAACAGAAGCTGATAGATGTCTTGCTGATATGTTATTCCATTAAAACTTACTTTCTATTTCAGATGAATTCTAATATACAGAAACAAAAAGGAACTCATTATTATTCTATGTTTTCTTTACAGGCGACGATTCACAAATGTTTGCTTGGATGCTGTTAGTTGCTACCTGGTTGAACTTCAGTCTATGAGCCCGACGCTAATGGTGCAGACTGCTGTTGGGAATTTTAAATCACTACAGGCTAAATTAGAACGGCTTCATTGACTGGCTAATGTAATAACAGAATCATTAGCTCAGATAAAATGAACTATGAAATAAGAGCTCAGATGCCTGCACTGAATCTCTGGAAAAACAAATCCTCAGAAAGAAATTCTGAGAAAGTTGTATCTCCTACTGCAGTTATCGATTGTGTGGCCTGTATTTATGCTATTCTAAAGGTATCTACAAATTGTAGAATTTAAACGTGACAAATGAGTTTTCTTTTACTACTACCAATTTTTTTAACAATAGAAAGCTTTTTTAATACTGTTGAAATAAAATACATTGTGTGATCATTCCCTTGAGGATTAAAAGTACTTGGAAAATATTTTTCTTTTTCTTTACTTAATGGAGAAAAATAGTATGTAAAATCTACTTGATCGCTGTTTTACAAGTATCAAAACAAGAAGTGACAACTGCAGAAGGCAAAATGATGATAAAAGCACATGTGGATGAGTCAAGTTGTAAATGTGGTCATACCAGGGAGTAGCAATGCAGTCATAACTCTCTGCATGAGTTTATTGGCAGGTCTTTCAGTAATGAAGATAATAATTATTTCATAACTCTCACTTTAAACATGGCTTGCCTCTGTAAATAGAATGTTTGGGATGAAATTGCAGAAACTAGCAATCTAATTTGTATTGCAAGTGAAAGAACAGTATTAAAAGCCCATCAAATTATTTTCCTTATTCCATTTTAATAAATATGTTGTATCTGTTAAAATCAAATAAAGAAGTCAAGAAGTGACTTCTATCTACTTTCATTACATGCACATAAGCACCACATTGTGTATATTCCTTAAAAGGAGCAAAGTCTACGCATCATCCTGTATGCATGCTTTCTAAGATTTTAAAATCTTATCCTACAAGGAGATTTGTTTTGTCTCTGTTTTACTGCTATGCATTGTGTACATATTCAACAACATAAACTCTATATAACATGCACAAGAAATTAGTAGTTCATGTTAGCCTTTAGTCTTTCTCAAATAACTTCTTCATGTAAGTAAATAATGAGACAGTTTGGAGAGATTTTTAATGGGGGAAAGAAGCAAATATCTTTATGCCTCCAGAGTAGATTAATGTTTTTTTTTTTCCATGGGAGAATGAGTAGTTGATTCACATCCCAGGTGTTCAAAAAAACAGAAAAAAGGAAATGTGGATTAAGACATTTATTTACATGCAGATTGTCTCCATATAACCTTTAGTACAAGATCTGATTACTATGCTCTAAACTTTTGTTTGAAGTACAGCCATTAAATTTCTTTCCCTGTGAACTGCCAGGTAGATTCTGATGATTTTCAGGCAGAGAATGCACCCAGCAAAGTTAATGTGTAAATTAAAATACATCTCTTTTTTTTTACCTCCTTTTGGATCAAAATAGAGCTGAAATCTTAATATTGGCTTTTCTCTTTTGTCAGTGTTGAAATTTCCCCACAAAGTATTTAAATAGACGAATCACTATATGTCCTGGGAAAACGATTTGCATCTTTCCATATGAAGTTATTAGATACTACAAGTTATTTTCTGCCAATAGCTATGTTTCACACCAAGGTTATCATGTACATTTACCCTGGTCTTGTTACTGCAGTTCTATTAATACGCCATACAAGTGGTGTACCAAGTCTTGCCTGATGTATTTAACTTTTATTTCTAAATTTTAATATTTGCATGAAATTATGTTGTGTTGAGCCATATTCTGTAATCTAGGCAAGTAGATTTCTGTTTTCAGATCTAGAGAAATGCCTGAAGAGTTGGGAACAGGCACAAGTCATGGACTTGTTTCAGCTATTCTTGTTTTTTTCCATTCTTCCAGAATAAGAATGCCTCTGGCAATATTAACAAGTTTTTCAAAGTAAGAGTATTTCGAAGTGTATCAAGAGTTATCTTTGATATTTTTCAGATGATGGCAGGTAATTTCAGTGCAGACATTGCCTTTTGTTTTCATAGCACTTGCCCTGCTCTCCGATGGAGAAAGGGTAGGTTCTGCTTCCCCATTTAAATTTGGAGGGATGGGGAAACCTGAGGTCGGAGGAGAGGGTTGGGTGGATTAATGCAGTGGGTGAAACAAATGGTGACAAGTACAGGGAAGTAACTGACCAACATGAAGGTGAACCACTTCTCATTAACAGAATTATCAACAATTGGATGATTACTTTTTTTGGTCGGTTTTTTTTTCTTCTGTCCCAATGTTACTCATTCTTGATGAGGATTGTGGTTAAGGGAAGGTAGAAGGGGACTCGGTCTAAAGTGGTTTGAGGAACAACAGCCAGCCTGAGAGAACAGCTGGTTTCAGGGAGTCAAAGGCATTTCTTCAAGGTGATGAAACAAAATGACTGCTCACCCTTCTTGTATTTCACCTGAATTCCTGTATTTGGCAGGGAGCACTAGTCTCTAACAGCTCTGCCTCCTACAGTCGCTCATCCCCCCATCTCCGAATACTGATGAGGATGCAAATTCTCCCCTCTGGAACAGCGGCGGAGTGACCCATTGCCCCAGGCTGTCGCCACAGGCGGTACGAAGTGCCCGCCTTTTCCCGCTGAGGGACGGGTGCTCACCGGGTCTCCCGAAACCGCATGAGACTTCTACCCAGCGTGCCAAGCCGGCAGGTTCGGGGGCGAAGGGGCAGCGGGAAGCCGTGCGCGGAGCCCGGCCAGGGGACTCGGGGAGACAAACGGGAGACCGGCTCCGGTGACGAGGAGACAACTCTCCGACGGCCGACGCGACACAGGCGACCGGGGGGCGGCTGCCGGGGAGAGGCCGCCCGTCGGG